AGTTATGTATGTTTCCATGTGAGTAAAACTAATTCAATTACAGTAGTAACCACTTAAGATAATTCTTTTCAGTATATGTCTTTTAGCGGCATATGATGTGACTTGGCAATATTCTTGCAGATGAAAGCACTTAATACTGCAGACCCCTAAAAATACAGTTCCTTTTTGCAGTGAATAAGAAGCATAGGATTTCTCATCATGACAATGATGAGATTCTATCTGAAACTAACAATCCCAATTAAAGCACTGTACCAGACTTCAAAAATGGGGTTTCAACAACTATGAAACATATCACAAAACTACTTACAGTGACTTCTGCAATCTGCCTCAGAAGTGCTGGAGGAAACAAATATGACTGTTTATGAAGCAGATGATATTTCAAGAAAATCTAATTTAAAAAAATGAAAACATACCAACTGACAGAAATGAAAAACCAATGGTAAACGTTATCATTTTGAACAGAATGTTTCTTATGAAATACAGCATGTGTGTAAACCATTAATTCTGCCTTCATTACAGCCAGCTTGGGAAAGAATTGCAGATTGCTTTACAAAAAATATGATCCCTGTCATAAAATAAACTAAATAACAACATCATTTCACACTTACAGAAGATCTTCCTGCCAAGGATGAAGGTGAAGATAATAATAAAGCTCCTTACCGGCGTTATCTAACTAAGCCTAATCACATCCCTACAAGGGCAGTTAGTTGTTACGGTATTCTCTGCATACGTGGTCAAACGAGAACAAATAGGTTTACACCTCAAGAGCTCACTGTGAGTTAGTGAGTTGCTAAGAATACCACCCTGGAGCCCTGACTCCCTTATTTTTGCTCTCACGGCTGGATCATTAAACTATTATATTGTGCAGAACCCACCCAAGTGCAGAAACGTAAGAAATATGAACCAGCTCAGATGTTCTGAAAGTTACAGCAAGGCTTTCATTAATAAGAACTAATAATATAGATGGTCAATAAGTAGGGAATTAATGTAGTCCTGACCTCCTTTCCCACTTCATGTGCCTTGGACTGTGGAAGTGGGACACACTTCTCCATCGACAGTTCCAAACAAGCTCTGAAGGGATGGTCTCTCATACAAGTAAGAAGATACAGTTTTTAATACTATGATTCATTCAATTTCTTAATGTTAACAGCTACATGTTTTTGCTAGAGTCCTTTTTTTCTATCAGACTTCAAAACTTCGTACAAAGCAGGCAAGTACCCTCAACTCCATTCTACAGATGGGGACAGTGAGCCAATGAAGCAAAATGACATCACGATCACCCCCAGCCACTGCCAGTGCTGGGAATGAACCAAAGGCTCAGGAAGCTTAAGGTAGAAGACATAAATATGGAGACATACAAGAGAGGCTTTATGCATCCACGTAAGTAAAAAAATAAATTCATAAAGGACTAATAAATAAGAATTTAAAAGAGAAAAAAAAGAAGCATGTTGGTAACTCTAAACTGAGAGGAAGACCATTCAATGGTGAGTAACCCAGCAATTACAGCAATTAAGGCTGGTGCTGAATTTGATGCATACACCCTTAGCATGGGAGGCGGACATAAGAGGTGAAATGAGAAGAAAAGGGTTTTTATCTGCTACAAATGCAAATCCCAAAAGTCTCAAAAGGTTTTGAACATAGTAGGCTATTAGTCTCATTCCTTCTGCTCCATACGCTTCACCTGAACACTTTATACCACTTTTTCTTGTTTTCCCAAGTTATACTTCCTCTGTGTTTCTTTCATTCTTTCTTCCATTCAATTTAAAACATTAGTGTGGCATCAGCTATTAAAGTTTCTTACTTTTTTCTTTTTGGTTGATTCTGTTATGTTTTGTACTTTTTACAGTTCCCTTATCTCTTTATATCCAGTTCTTTTTCTTTTTTTTTTTAAATATACAGATACTCAGGTTGCTATTTTTAAAGGTGTTTACAGACTTTAGGAACATAAATCATACTGGCAATCGTCAAGCACTAGGCATTTAAGCCTTTTCAGTTTCTCTGACAATTTTATCCTTCAACTTTCAAATGCCCTGATAAGTCACAACACTGATCTCTTTTTTAAGCATGAATACACCATGCTTAAGGAGGTATACCTTAAGGGACATACCCTGTTCTTTTATGTTCAAACCAAAGAAATCAGAGCATTTTCTGAAGTTTCCCTTTCACTAAAGTACGCCCAAACAAAGGAAAAAGAAAACACACACACAAAATATACAAAAGCCACTATCAGCCTTTACCACAAAACTATGGTGTTAGACTTGTGGAATAAAGGAGAAGGTATACTAAGCAAGCAAATACATATATTTACTTGCACTCATAACTCAATCACAGCTAGTGGAATGAACAATTGTCTGCAGAAAGACCAGATCTCAGGGTAACTGGGAAGAGTCAAGATGCCTCTACAGAAAGGCCCTGAAAATTCCTGCCAGATTTGGATTACTATCTTGGACATCGTCCTAGGAGTCTTTCTGGGGGAAATGATCCCCGAGAAACTTTCTAAGGGATGTTGAGTATCAAAAGACCACTAGCTTTCGGCTGGATTCCTTCTAAGGCTCAACACTCAATGTTATACTCTTTTGCCCTACCCTGTCACAGATCCTAAGTGCAAAAGGTTTTTGTAGGGTCAGGGCAGGGGTGAATAGATACAGATGCTCTCCATACAGAGGAAAAGAAAACCATGCAGAGAGAACCCTCTGTTTTTCACCAAAAATATGTTCCTGAAAGGCTGATATGGAAACAACTGACAATAAATCAGAACTGATCTCTCACTCAAGTAATATAAACACGACAAGCATGACTTTCTGAGCTTCTAAAAGTACTTCTGAGCTGTAATATATTTTTGCTGCAATAATAAAAAGTCAGGCTGTCTAAATAATTGAATACCAGTAGTTCCATGGTAATTTTGCTCTAAGAAATATCATCTCTTCCAAGTTCTTCTATACACTTCTCTAGCATATTGCTGACTTTTTACTCTCTCTATATATTAGGCTAAAAGGATCATTTTCAGAACTTCATTTTAGCTCAGAGTAGTATTCCACAGCCAGTAGCTTTTTACCCATTTAGAACTATACTCCCTTTCATTTTGGGAACTGTATAATGGTCTGCATTTAACATCCAAAGAGTTAAGCCTTCCTATATTAACCACCTAATCCCAAAGTAGCATATTAGGGATTAAAAGTGATCAGTAGTATATCAGTTCAGCCATTTTAGTCATTTTCCCATTTATTCATTTTACCTATTTCTTTGCCCTGTGGTCCCTTTTGAGTGATATTTTAGCTATCTCCACTTCACACATCTGGATTATATCTCAATTTGGTCCGTGTGCTACACGTACTGAAGTGAGAGCTTTTGTATATGTTTTACCATATTTGAAATGTACATTAGAAAAAAGAAATAACGTATACTCACACATCATAATTTCCCTTTAAGGCCTCAAACCTGTTCTGAGCGGTAATCATGCCAATTTTACTGAAAGGTAATCGAAGCATAAAGCGATTATGTGACTTACTCAAAGTCACTTGGGAATTCTGTAACAAAATGGAACCCAATTCAAACGCCCCATGGCATCCATCTGCTAGGGAGAACACAGCACTGACAGGACACTCAGGCTTTTCCACTGCGGCAGCTGGAAACACAGTGGGATAGTCCACAGCATCCCACATGGCACCGGACACTTCTGTTTTGCATACTTGTGCATAAAGTGAGGTGCATACTTCTGTTTATGAACCTGAATTGCTTCCTAGACCTCCTAAGCCAACTCCGTTTTATTAAACAGGCAACACCGTTCCCAAAATTAAGGTAATTTTTCATTATTCAGGTAGCGTTTGGAACTTAGACTTCCCCATTTGCAGTAGAAATCTTCTAGAAATGAAAATGGACTGAGAAATAGCCTTTTCTGGTCATTACAATATAGGAGGGTGCCTAGACAATCTGAAGTCTTCAGAGACATTTTTTGGCAACAGAAGTTTTTCAATTATATCTCCTGGAGCTTTATGCATTTCAAATACTTTTCTTTCTTCTGTTGAATTTCTAATAGATATTGCAAGCCTTTGGCTCCATGTCCAGAATCCTCATGCCAGATTAGACTCTGAAAGAATCTCAAGTTTAGCTGTTTAAGATGATAATGTAAACACAAGTTCTTTGCTTGTTTTTCTATTTTGACTCATGTAATTCAGGTGAATCAAAACAAAACACAGAAACCAATGGTCAAATGAAAATAGAAAATGTCATAAATTTTAAGTCTTCATGGAATCCACTTTGTTCAGCTCTGCTTAATGGAGGACCCATTGACCATACGGTGGTAACATCTGTATTTTGACCGGTTTAGGGACATTTTGTAGCTCGGGTTCCAATCAGAACCTCACTGTTCAGTTGAGAGTTTCAGGTATTTTCGGAGCATCCCCTCTGAATGAACGTGTTCAAGGTAGCCTTCTCAGCCCATGACAATTTATGTTAGTAACCCCATGGAACCACTCTAACTGCCTTCTAATCCCCATCAGTCCTTGTTCCACCAGCTACCACTGATAGGTCATCCTTTACCTTACACGATATAGCATCATCCATTTTGGAAATTATCTTCTCTAGTTGTTTTTTATTTATCTCTAATTCCTGCAGCAGCTATACTTTGAAACATCTTTGTGTGTTTGGGTAATTTATATTCTCAGTTAGTAAGACAAGTGCCAGTTATACCAATTATGTCTTAATTAACAATAAAATACATGAGCAGAATTGTGCAGTCTTCACTATTATGTTCACAGTATTGTTATGGCACTGCATCATTACTGCACATGTGGAAACAACTTGCAGGGCTCCTGCGTACCAATATAAAATTAGCTTTCAAGATTTAAGTGTGTAAGATATTAGAAAATATTTCTCTTATCATAAATTTCTTCTGCAGTGTAGCACTAATTCATTCTTAAAGAATAACATTTTCTCCTGTGAAGTAGAATGTATATTATTTAGAGGAAAACAAAAGAGAGAAAGAAGCAGCATATCTTTACCCTCCGCACATCTTTGCCAAATGTTTCGCTGTAGCTAGTGCCCAGTATTTCAAATTGAACATAGGGGTTGGCGCCATCTTCTCTGAACTCCATAACACCAGTAAGCCCAGTTATGTGGCCCTAAGGAAATAAGTTTCAGAAATTTTAGAATAGAACAAATTTGCCTTTATAAACACTCCTTTTCATTAAAGGTATGCCAAATTTGCTTTGAAAATGTTTACAGTGAACTTAAATGTGGCAATTACATGTTCTTCAATAGCTCAAACATAGCGCCAGACAAAAGACTTACTTTTTTTTTTTTTTTTGAGAAAATTACTTTAGCACTAACACATCCACTGTATACTGTGGAAAAAAGCTATCAGGTCTTCATCGTTCACAGAGACGGACCCCAAAGAGAAGGAAAAGGACCTCGGTGGTCTGTGAGACAACCGAGCCCTTTCAGCGTAACTGAGGGCAGCAGCTTCAGTTCTGGGACTGAATACAAAGGCTTCAACTCCAAGTCCAAAAGAAAGAATATGCCTGCTGTGCTCCCAAGAGAGGCATGAAGAAAAGATAAATTTTTAAGTATTATTAAAACCTCTCTGTGAAAGTATCACGGTGTTCGATTGTGGGTTTGTAGCAAAGCAGCTTGAAATGACACTAATTTTTTAATTAATTTAGCAACAAGGGATGGCCTCATTAGGCCTGGTCAGAGCATAACATAACACTTGATCAAACTGCACCATTTTAGTAGAGTAAAACCATTTCATCAATATATATGGGGAAACAGGTTTTTTTTTTCCGAACAATTGCTAAAGTTCGTATACTAAAAAATGAGTATTTTTTTCCACTAGTATTTGTGATCAAATAACTTCCATACAGGAAGTTACCATGCATCTGCAAAGCCACAGTACTGTCCATATTTGAGTAATTCAATATGCTGCAAGACAGCGTAACTGCTAGTGACAACTTAGCTAAATCAGATCCCTTTTGCTCTGGGCTACAGTACACAAATAGATACTTACCAATGCTCAGCTAACTTACGAAGCTAGTTGAGCTGTAGTAAATGGAACATAAGTCTTAAACCTTATCATTGGTTGGCCCCTCGAGCTCCTTAAGTTCTTCTCTTGGGGAAATTATTATGACGCATGCACACATCAATTTGTACAACTATTCCTAATCACACTATCTCCACAGAAGGTAGCTCTGAGAACAACAGACGTAGAACACACACCACTGGAGAAACACTGCAGTGTGTGTAATTTGTTTGTAATAGATCATTAAATTAAACATGTAATAAATGTTTAATAGCGGTGGATCATCCTGGTAGTTGTAAATCACTTGCTTGCAATAAATCAAAGAAAAGTTGAATAGAGGCCAAAAACCTTTTCAAAAGCTAATCTCAAGTAGAAATGAAGCAACCCTTTCAATTGCTCACACAACTGTGGTTTGTCTGTTCTCACCTTCTTAATGGTCTCTAGCATGGATCGTCCTCCGTTCCAAGGTTTGGTGGATTTCCTCATGCAGTTCAGACTTGCCATGCTGTGCCATTTCCTGTCCTCCAGTTTTCTGTGGAAAGCATTGGCCAGCATGAGCACACTGTCATACAGGTACAGGTTGGAAACCTGCAAACAATAATAAGAATGAACCTCTTTGTTTATCTGAGCATCCTTTAGAAGAAACTGTAAAAACCAGCAAAGAAACAAAAAAAAACCCAAAAGAAGACGTAAGTAAAAACTAAAAGCTGGGTATGTTTGACGTGCTCAACAGTCAAGGCAATTCAGACAAATACCAGTGCTCACTCCTACCTTCTTTCCCACTTGGCACCTGGGCCCTTCTGGCCAAGGGACGCCGGCACATTTGCATTGCCTGTGCATTACCTACACCACTGCAATGCAGTGCTGTAAAGACGTAAGAGATCGCAGTTCAAATATAAACTCAAGCTACAGAATGAGTACAGCTATCTATCAAGGAAAAACAAGGATTGGTACTTTTTCAGTCCTTTCAGCAAGGAGAAAAAGACAGAATGGAATTAAGTTCTTGTTCTTTTTGTTCATTTGAGCAATCTCCTTGGTAATTTCTGGCACAGCAAAATATAATACTAATGCAACTGGTTAGAACAGAGGGAGGAGAAATGACAGTATTATTTTGGTCTTATCATCTCTCTCCACCAAATATACAGGAGACTAGTTACTATTCTACTTTCTCTGGAGCTATTGATTCTAGCCTCCTTATTCTTCAAATTACATGAGGGATAAAGAGAACCATAATTGACGACAAAGGCTCTAGTAAGAACACCACACTAGTAATGCTCAACTATGTATTTCATTTTTCAAACCAAGACACGGCCATCAATATGAGGTCAGATCTTTGACATGCAGCAGTATCCACCACAAGCAGTAAAACTTTAACAGTGGAAGTTGGCTGAGAGAAGTGATTTAAAAAAAAATAATTAGATACTCTCCACCTGTTTCCAGAGTTTACATGCACTCTTCTTCAAACCTATGCACAGATTCAGGGGTATTGATTTACTCTTTGCTAAACTCAAATCTCCAGTTAGCATCAGTTGCCAGACACAGCTTTTTTCTTCTTATTATTAAAAAGATATTCTCCTAGCTGAAGGCTTTACTCATGGTGATCCACGAATTTCCCAGTTATCTTTTGGATTTCTCTAATTCACCATAGAAAATAGTGCCTAGAGACCAGGAAAGGGCTACATGTGAAAGTTAATGCAGCTGCATACTTCCTATAAAAATGTCACTCAGCTGTGAAAGCTTAAACATATATTACTGTTGCATCACTGGCTCCAAGTAAACTTCTGAGATCTTAAGATCCTCATCTTCAGAAACAAAATGTTTCATGTTCCATAATCTGGAGTTTGACATAGATTGAGAACCTAGGCACCTTGAAAAATCTTCTAGTATAAGTAAATCTGAACAAAAGATATATAAACAGAAATTCATTTTGAAAAAAATCAAAACAGGAAGAAAATACACAAAAAAGAGGTTGAGGATACCCACTTCTTTAAGTGACTAAACATAAAAAGGGCTCTTAATGCGAAAATAATGCAAAACCTATGAGATACTATCACTGAGAATCTCTCCCATCTGGCATTGCCATCTTCTTTCCCTTCTTTTCTTTCCAGCCTTCCTAAACAAGCAGTCCACATTCCCTTTGTTTGCTATTTTATCCAGTTAATTCTTTTCCTTTTAAAAGAGTTTCCAAAGCAGCAACTTTCCAGATTTCCTCTCTTTTTAGGAAAAGTAAGTAGTTAAAGAGTTAATAAGAGTCCCAGCAACTAAGTCTCTTCAGCTCAGTTTCATTTGTCTCCCTGCTCTGCAGATATTTTCCAAACAACTTCAAATAAAGCAACCAAGCGAATCCTTATTATTCGACAGGGCACTTTTCCTCTTCTGTGTTAAGCTACTCTCCACAAAAAAAATGAAAGCAGAACCCCAAACCCACAAAATAAACCACCCCAAACCACACACCACAAAACCCACTTGCTTAGAAGTAGATTTACATGCATAAGGAAAAATGCCATTTCTTATGTGCCATCATGATCATAGAATCATAGAATCATTGAGGTTGGAAAAGACCTCTAAGATCATCGAGTCCAACCGTCAACCCAACACCACCATGCCCACTAAACCATGTCCCTAAGCGCCTCATCTACACGTCTTTTAAATACCTCCAGGGGTGGGGACTCCACCACTTCCCTGGGCAGCCTGGTCCAATGTTTCACCACTCTTTCAGTAAAGACATTTTTCCTCACATCCAATCTAAACCTCCCCTGGCACAACTTGAGGCCATTTCCTCATGATCCTCTTTGCTCCCCATTGAATTCGATTTTACACCCTCACTTTTAACTGACAACTCATTGTCTGTTGCCTTGGAACCGCCATATATCAGAAATGCTTTGCATTTTCTCAGTTTGGCACTGTTCTTTTTCAGTTCTGGAAAACTGCAGCCTCATTCCCAAAACCAGTTTGCTTGGTTTGCTAGCAGAGAGCTCTAGGCAAAATATAAGATGTACTTGTGTACACTGCTTTCCTTCTCTTTCTACTTTTTATGCTCTTAGAGAAGCCGCCACAGTTCTGCGTGTATAATGGACTGAAAGCTTGAGAGAACTGCTTTTGAGGATCTTAGCCTACATGACCATGCATCCAACTCAAATTACCTTATGCTGTAGAGCAAAACAAAACAATCTCGTGTTTACCAACCTAATCCTCATAGTTCAGTTAGACCTATAATGGATTTTGTATCACTATTGTGTCGTTATTTTCTTTTGAAAGAATGATATAAACTGAGTGACAGCAAGAAAGGGTCTGCACAAGACGAGTTTCCCACTACTTACGTCCTTCTGTCATACATCTGGAGATATGTACTGAGGCAGAAGAAGATGTTGCAGAGAATATAGCAAGTTACTTTTTGCCATGGAAAGAATATTCTGTGCGTCCTGTTGTACACACTTATCCACTGGTGTTTTGCCACTCCAGTTCTCGTCTACTGAAAGCCTCGTCCAAAAAATGAGTATACGGTACTTTTTAGTCAGCAAAATTCCTTTTTTCATATAATCATACTCTGAGTATTTACTCCAGTACAAATGACATGCATACATTACTACATTTTAACCCCTACTCACTGAAGAGTCAATATTCTATGGAAGAGGAAGTTGAATTTTATTCACACAATCAACACTTCTTTTTTAGAATGGAAAATGTGCAAGCTAAGAAATTAACAGCAGCAAAACCTCCACAACCGAGGCTGGATTTGTAATATTAAGAGAATCAATTCTCTCTTTTTTTAATATTATATTTGTTCAGTCTGCTAGTTAAGCCATAAATTAACACAAAATATAGAAGTCCACCCTATTAAGGGCAGAACCCTTTACAACTTAAAAAGCATGACTCAAAGCATCTGGTTTTGCACAGGGATCAAAATTCATGATCATGTGTAGACAGTGTGTTTATCTAAAACAGGCAGCATGTTCACATGACAGTATTGTTTTGGTAGTCCTCTAGGTCAAGAGTCACTTCTTTGACGTGCAAAAAATAATCAAGAACAACCAAAAATATCCTGGTAACTTAGAAAATAATGTCCTTTTGATCCTTCACAGTGTGCAGAGCAAAACCCAGCTCCTGAACATCCACAGTGGTATAGATTGAATGCCTTTGCTTAATCCTAAATGGGAACTAGCTTTATCCTAGAATTATAGAACCAGGTCTAATCTGATGCTTGAGTAGTGTTGTGTGAGTGTAGCTGAACAGTTGATTCCTTCAATACCTACAGTAAGATATATTATTAAATTACTGTGAGGTATATTTTTATCTTCTTTTTTCCTAATTCCTTTCTGAGGTAGAAAAATAAGAATACTTAAATGTGTCAAATATCATCCTCTTCTCAAAAGAATATTCACTTTCTACCTGAATTCATTACTATATATGTATTTTCTTGTAGAAAAAAGTTACTTAAAACAAGACACAGAAATCCTGGCCTGATCTCACAGTAAATCCAGGGCTATAATAATTTCCTCTATTTTCTATTATATTCATTTTAATACAGCAAAATATCTGCATATGTACTACATTGTATTTGCAACACGAGTTTGCTGTGACCTCCAGAATAGCAGTGCTGCGAAAAGCGGACAAAGCCTGTATACACTTGTTACTGCAACTGCACACTATTTTCATTTTCAGCTATCAAACTCCCTCGGAATACAAACATGACCACTGAAAGGGAAGTTGTGAGATACCCAAGGGATCAGCTATACTCTGTTTCCACCAGTGCTGTCAGAGGCATGAGAAAATAGTAAATTTAAAAATTAGTCTTCAGGTAGCATTCAGAATTGGCAGCGAAGCAAGAGAGAAGGAAAAACAAGGCAATATACTTGGCTACTTTGGGTTTTCCAAGCTCTGCAGCATTTTTTATTTTCCCTATTTATATATTCACAGGGGGAACAGAGGAGGGAAGGGCATGTATCTGCCTGCAGGGATTCCCCTTCATATAACAAAAATTCCTAGATTAGAACAAAGTGTTTCATTTCTGTCCTGTTTGGAGGAAGAAACAGTAATTTTCAGTTCCTCTTTCACTTCATTGCGAGAGCTGTAAGAGCTGGAGGTATTGTGACTGAAATGCTTTTTGATCTATCTGCTATAAGAATGATGGTGACTGTTTCACCAATATATTAAAGAGTATGCCCTGTACATGAATAATTTTAGGCGTGTTCTGGTATATCTTCTGAAAATTATTCCAGACTTTATGAACCTCTATTTTGCAATGAAGAAAAAAATCCACCATACACTTCTGCTCTCAGAGCAGAGCAGAAATTTTCAATGAGAATGGGAATCTCTCCCTATCACATTATTAAATGTCATTTTGTAGAGGTTTTTATGTGAATTTAATGAGATTTTCCAGAGTGATTTTACTTTTAAAGTTATATATGAAGATAGGTTTTAGCTCCTTCAGAGGCACTAATCATAGACAAGTGCTCTTCTGGGAAGGCCAGCAAGCCACAAAGACTGACCCCAACTTCTGAGCTGCCAGCAGAGCCAGCAGTCTAGCCAGACAAGACCGCCGAAGAGACCAGCTGGGAAGACAAGCTGACACCCAGATGCCACTGCTT